TACACCTAGAATTGCCCATATTTAATTGGTTCTATTCCATTTTTCTTTTCTTCTGCATGCTCCTTTTTTTTTTATCATAAATTCAATTTATTTATATTTCCTTTTAATTAAATTTTAATTTTTAATTTTTTTTTTTATTTAGCAGACCCATAAAATCCAATATGGCAATGAAAGAAATCCACATCAATTCGAATTAAAATCGCCACAGAGTATTTGTCGTACAAAGACACATCATACATACATACATACATCACAGATGTGTCAGCATGTAATTCAAGTACTGTAGTCTGTACACACTACATATGAAATTTTAATTTATCAAATCAAATTAAATAAATTTTCGAAACAATTAATTAAAGTAAGCAAAATGACAGTGGTAGAAGAAGATGAAACGAGAAAAGTCAACTTGTACATGGAAAAAAGTGATCGGAAGATGCATGTAATAAATTTTGTAACTACAAAATATTAATGCAATACAAAAAATATTTAAAGTTGTAAAAAAAAAAGAAAATAATTATAATTGAGGAATTAGGAATTTAAGAGGGTCCTTATATATATTCATGTTACAATAATAATAACATGCAGAACGACGTCGTTTTCATAGATCAACACATGTTACTCTTTGTACTTTAGTGGGCTTATGATAAGGTATGGGCAGTAAAAACTGATTCTTAACTGACTCCCCATCTTCACAAACCTTGTCATTATTATACCAATCCCAAGAACCCTAACTCAGATCCTACCTCCTTTTTCTTTTTCTTTTTCTTTTTTTATTTTAAATAATTTAATTTCATAGTTAATAATAATGAAATGGATGCATTATTCAATAGTAATTCCAAAAGTAACAAACCACATGCAAGCATTTAGCTTCCTTTATATCACAACCTATATTTAATAGACAATAATAGGTACTGTTTTAGTCCAATTGGAGTTATGTGAAACACCATTTCTGTACAGTAAAATTAAATTAAAATAAAGGGCAAAGATTCGAAACTCAATTATTCTAAAGCAACACCCTATTGCAAAATTAAATATAATTAAAAAAGTTAGCACCACGTGAATAAAGAAGATTGTGACCTGGATTCATTGCACCTAATTAATTAATCCCACATTATTTCATCATAAATCCTAATTATCCAACTTATGAAATAATATATATTAATCTTACAAGTTACATCACCAGAAACTCTCTTTTTTTTTTTTTTGAAAAAAAATTAAAAATAAAATATAATTCACAATAGGATATTCATAAGATAGGAGAATATCTGACTCTTCAAAAGAAAAAACCCATATTTGATAGGGAGAGTTTAGCTTGAGCTATAGCTGATTAAGCCCACCAATAAGAGCCATTGTGGAGCCACTAGAAGATGAGCCGGATACAGAAAGCGGCTCGGCTAAGGCACTCATGGTTCGTACCTGAGACAAACAGCTTTATTATTATTATTATTATTATTATTATTATTATTATTATTATTATTATTATTATTACTAGTATTTTTCCCCGTGCGATGCACGGGATATTATTTCAAAAGTAAAAAAAGAAATAATCAATTTAATAAATAATAAGAAAATATATTACACTAATATAGTAAAATTTAATAATACAATATTATTCATATTTTATATAACATTAGTTTTTTGACATCTTACATATTAAGATTTATAATCCAAATATATAGATTAAGAATAATTAGTAGATAAAAAAATAGTTACAAAATTAGTAGAGAAAAAATATTAAAAATAAATAATTACAGATGTACCATTAAGGTAGGATTCTTCACGGGTTAGTTTTAATTTTGATAATTGTTAAAAATTATAGTTAGAAATTAGTAGAGATAAAATATTAAAAATAAATAATTACAAAAATATCATTAGGATTTTTTAGGGTTGCCCAGCGTTTCTTTCTTTTATATATAAGATTATTATTATAAAATAATTACAAAGTAAATTGATGTGAAAAGGACATAAATATATACCAGCATTTCGAGGGCGGCGATATAATCGGTGGCCTCCTCCAAAACCACCGGCAACGGCTGTTTCCGGCAACCGGGAACCAACCTACCGAGAACGCGCGCTTTGCGCTGGAACGCCGGCAAACACTTGGATTTCAACCTGAGAACGCTCACCTTCGATTTCTTCTGCGCGCGGCAGCTGCCGGCGGTGATTGACGTCATCACCCTACGGTGTCGTTTGGCCGTGTTGTTTTTCTTCACGAACTTCAGTTTGAGCCGGCTCGTGAGTATAGCTCGGCTCCACCTCGACCGTCCCTTCGCCGTCGCGGCTAATACTCTGTACGCGGCGTCGTGCACGCGTCTCGGAGCCGAAGTCTGAGCTCCGCCGCTGAGCCGGACTTGCTTCAGCGCGTGGAGGAGTTTTGATGAGTAGATTTGCTGCTGAGCGTCGGATTTCCACTGGATCGTCGGATTGATTTCTGTAATTTCTGACTGATTTTGTGTTTGGTGCTGGATTTTCTTCCTCTTTCTTCTTCTCGTGGATGATCTATCGGAATCTACTAGCGCCGGATTTGACGATAACAGTGATGAAATCATCGCTTCCTGGTTTCGATTTCGAATTATAGAGCTGCAGATTCAATCGAGCGTATCGTAACGGATTAGAATCAGAAGAAATACGGAGTAGATTCAAAGACGATACCAAATAAAGTAATACAAAATTAAAGCCTAAATACACTACTAATTACACCATCAAACTGCAATAAATACTGATTAAACTCGAGATAATCATCAAAATTCCAGCAAATAAGCATGAACGAGATAAATCTGAATACAAAGAAAAATTTCGGAAATAAAAGGAAAAAAATGGTTAAACAGATCACCTTCTGAAGAAGAAATTCCTCTGGTGCGCTTACCAATGATTCACCGGCGAAATTCAGGGGTATATATTAACCTATATATGTATGTATGTATATATATAAGCAAAATGAAAACGGAGTTTTTTAATGGATTGGTTTTTCGGGTTGTTGAAGGAAGGGGGGTGATGGAGTAGAAATGGTGGAAGGGTGGGAATGAAGGAGGTTTTAAAGGGAATCACCGGGTCACATGGAACCCGGACCCATGATCCGGACCCGAACCAAACACTAATATTTATAATTTTAATCGGTTGTGTGCGGTGTTTATTGGGATTTATAATTGATTTCTAATTCAGATTTATTAACTCGTAATTAATACGAACAGTAATTTTTTTAAAGTAAATTTGGGTTTTTAGGTATGAAAATTAAATTACTATGTTATGAAATATTTATATTTTGGACACTATGTTCTTAAACTAATATATTTTGAATGCGACAACATGAAATTGGGCGGTTGGGGCCTTTGGGCCATGTGGTGAATATGGGCCCGCATAGTTGGCCCGGCCCCATTTTCATGTGCAATCTCTCACTCACTTATTATGACTTCATTCTTTTTTAAATTGTTATCCCTTTTGCTTTTCTCACTTATTTATTTATTTATTTATTTATTTTAACCTCTTGAAAGAAAGCACATTTGCTTGTTCAAATTTGGGCTAAATACAGTTTGCACCCTTAAACTATAAGGGTGGTAACACTTACCCCCTTAAAGTTACAAATGTAACACTTACCCTTCATTAATGAATTTAAAGATATAACTTTGACTTTGAATGATGTGGCATTTTTTCTTCCCAAATTGTTCTTCAAAGAACTATAAAAACACTCATGCCTCAAAGAACTATAAAAATAACTTGTATTGAATTATGAATATCTGTGCATACAACCAGAACTAGAGAAATTTCAATTAAAAAAATGAAAAAAAAAAAACAAAATTAAATTAATGCAAGTAGAGACTAGAGGATGACATATCAACTTTGCTTAAAAAAATAATCAGTTGATGAATCAATCACCCAACGTTCGAGAAAATCGTTCCAATCGGATGATTCTCTTTTCCTAACAATATCCTGACGTAGCCGTTTCTCTTTGGAAAGTATTGCTGGTAACCGAATAAGCGCCTCCTCGTTTGTTCCTTGATCAGCAGATGGAACGTATTTTCCGGTACGCAAATCCAGTCTTGAAGTTGGCTTTTTCAGCAAGTCCTCTCCAACTTTGACGAGATTTTTCAAATTCTTCTTTGTTGCAACGTCCACAGACGACGTTACACCGACTAAAGTCTCGTCCTGAAAAAAACATATATATTTATTTATAATTGCTTAGAATGATATTACATGTGAAATAAATTAAATTTAAACTTCATCGGAAGAAAAATTAAATTACCTGGATTCTTAGAAAATTTCCACTAGAGTGAAGGGCTCCAATAAAAGTGGAACCGTAGTAATTAGTGATGTTTTGTATAGCTTGAGAAATGACATCCCACAAGGGCTTCGATTTACGATTTTTGATCAACCATCTCAAAGTACTCCACTTTGATGCTTTTTTGGCGTCATACTTATGAACTTGTTCTGAACCAGTTCCTAGAGACAATACTAGAAATCGACCTTCTTCTTTTGGACTTCGATGAAAAATACTATCATTTTCTTCATCCATCTTCATCCTTATTATTTCAGCTATTGCTATGAAACACTGCATGCAAAGCAAATCCATAAAAGAAATATTAATAATCTATTCTTGAATTTCGGCTTATATTGCCATAGAAATTTCTATAAAAAAATATTAATTAGTGTAAGATATTTACCGGATCGTTAGCAGCAATCCCGCCATCAATAAGGTTGAATTTTGTTTTCTTGCCCTTTGAATCTCTTGTTTTGAAGTAGTGTGCTGGGAGATAAGTCGGAGCGGCTGAAGTTCCTAAGCAAATATCCGAGAGCGAAGCATCTAAGCTTGGGTCGTTTTTTACCTAAATAGTTAACAATAAGATCGATATAAAAGACGTGACCTTAATAAATGAAATATATAGGATAATATATTATAAATAATAAATCAGTATGAAAAGCACACAAACATACCTGATAGCTGGAGAAGATAGTGTGGCTCATCTTTTTAATATCAAAAGTTGGAATAACAATATTTGTCAATGTTTCATGCAATTTTGTGTTTCCAAGTTTCTTCTTGAGTAGGGCTCGAAGATATTTTCCGTCATATTTCGGACCAGATAAAAAACACTTGAGCGTCGTTGCAGTGTGACTAACAAGATTATCCCTACAACCAATTCCAAGTACGTTAAATTTCGGAGCTAAAATTCAAAATTTAAATAAATAAAGAAAGAAAGAAAGAAAGAAAGAAAGAGAGAAAGAAGTAGTACCTCTCTTGGGGAAATATTTCCGGACAGTTCTCAAGGTAGAAATTTTTAATATCTTTCGCAGCAAACAATGGTCGATTCTTTTCGTTTGGAGCGGTAAGCATTACACTGATGAGACCTCCTGTGCTTGTGCCTGCGATTACGTCAAAGTAATCTGCAAGTCGAGCATCTTCACCATCCAATTTCTGAAATAATTATACATTCATGCATCAAATATTGATAAAGAAAAGAAAAAATCAGTACACGAATCGAAAAGTAAGAGCTAATTAATACATACACATACCTGAAGTTGTGACTCGAGAAATTCGAGGATAACTCCGGGGATTATCCCTCTAACTCCACCACCATCAATCGCCAAAACTCGGATCAATTTTCCGAAAGGTTGGTGCTCCATCTGATATGCTTGTGATCTTGATGATTCCATCATGCAAAAACTTTGAATTAATTCTTATTGCAAATTGTCTTTCAATGTATACGAGTAGGGGATAACGTTTTGCTAGTGTTGTATTTATAGAGTTCTGAGTTATGTTTTAGAAATAAAATTTTCCATAACTTGGGATTTTTTTAATAAGGAAATTTCAGACATTGGAAGTAAAATAATGACGTGGCAGATATTGAGTGAGCTGGCAATTACAATCACTTGGTAAAAGTACTATATATAGTATATTTGAATTATGGAAAAAAAAAATTACGGAATCTAATTTTTACATATGGTATATTATCTATTAAAAGATCAGAATTTTGTTTCCTTATTTTATATCAGAGTTAAGTCGCTAATAGATGAGTAAATAATCATAATTGGGAAAATATCTTATTTTGGATATTTTCAGAAAAGAATTTACACGTCATTATTTAATTTATTTTTTATTGGTAGTGCAGTATTTCTTTAGATTCAAATTCTGTGTTTTGAGTTATACCAAATTCAGATTCATAATGTTGTAGATTGCAAAAATCTCCACAACTGCTCATACCTATAATGAACAATTTATTTCATTAGATAACTGTCTCAAATATATTTGAGTCTTTATAATATATTTATATGTATTATCTTTCTAAAATCGAACTAGATATATATTAAATATCTTTTAAGCATGGCTAACTCTACTGAAACTACTATGATTAGAAGTGGAACAATGCATAACTCAAAATTAATATCCAAAGGAAGAACAATATGATAGAGTAATATGTTTTGTAACAAGAGATTATATTATATATGGTTTGTTAATGGCTACTGTATTATATTACACAAAAAAGAAAAGAAGGTTCAGAATGAAGCAACAATGTATGTTCAATATGTATCTATAGACTCTACACAACTTACGATTATTCATCGTCCGAATCAGCCTCCTTAGCCGCCGCCGCAACAAATGCAATTTCACATGCCTTGGATGCTCGTTCAAACGACGAGATTTCCTGCATAAGAATCTTTTCCTCAGATTTCACGGGCACGGAATATGCTAATTCGATCCTCTCCAAGACTTGAGCATGCCTCAAAAGATACTTAACAAATTCAAACATCTTCGTTTCGTCCGCCATTTTTAGAATCTTTACAACCCTAAGATGTGATAATAGGCATTTAGGCACGTGTAGTGGTTCGATCCAAATCCAGCTTTTTCCTTCTTCACTTACCTGATACCGACAACACCAAACGAAACAAAAAGACCAAGTCAGTACGAAAGTCATAAATAATAATACGGAGAAGCTAAAAGATTAGGAAAAACCCGTTTTTCTTGCATCAAAAAACAAACCTCGGAGAAAGTAAGAATTTCAAGATTATTAGCATTTCCAAGAAACTTTGTGAGAAAACAACAAGCAGCAGTCAATTGCAGTTCGGTTAAGGTAGGAAAACTTAGAGTCCCCGCAAAGAATTTCGAGTCTATAATCTGCAAACAATTACACCACAACAGTACAAATAAGATCACATGTCCGAATTTACCATCATTTGCACAATAAAGAAAAAATGCACAGTGAGTGAGCTGATGAAAGATCGAGTGAATACCTCATTAAGTGAATTGATGAAAGATCGAGTGAATTCCTCAATCTTACATAGCCCACTACAATATGATGATAAATCTAACTGTAGGCTCCTGGCATCGAGGAGCCCTAGCCAATCGATAAATTTCAACACGGACCGAGGGTAAAACAAATCTAATTGTTTCGAATTATCCATATGAAGGTAGATACTCGCTTCAAATAAGGGGTATAAACGGGATTCATCACCGATTCGGTCACTTATTTGGAGATATCGAAGCGAGGGAGCATTAATCCTCAACCTGCACTCGCAAGGTTCTGAATCAATAAACCGAAAAGTGACTGTGAGCCTCTCAATTGTGGGTGATGATATATTACAATAGAGATTGTTTCTCGACTCCCTGATTAACTGGAGTTCCAACTCCTCGAGCAATGGACAGCCAGAGAGAAGGTGGTTGAGGGTATCGTCATCTTCAAACGTAACAGCAATCAGACGAAGATTCTTCAGACGAGGCAGACACGCGGTAGGTACGGTGGGGATGACACCGCACCAAACGAGCCTCAAATCAACGAGGGTTTTGCAATTGAAAAGGCACCGGGGGATAAAATCACCGTCGTGTTCGATATTAAGATCAATATTTTGGACGTTTCGAGTAATGGCAACGGTAATCCACGTGTCGAATTGAAACCATTTGAAAGATTTCCACCCAGAGATGCAAAGTGTATTAATGTTTTCCACTCTTTGGAGCAGCATAGCCCTATAGATGCTGTCTTCGCAGTCGGTATATTCGAAAATTATACTAGGGACAGAAGCCCAGAGAAACCTCCATCTTCTTGAAAGGATGCTTGTACTCACACAGGTTTGAGTTGGGAGGAACGAGAGAATGCGAACGAGGATCTCGTCTTTCAAACCGCTAATTCTATCGGAATTTACTGCCGCCACTGACATTGATGACGTCATCCTTTCCGTGATTCTTTGATTTTGGGATTGTACCGAAGAATCGATTTCAAATTCTGCAATTGCAGATTCAATCGAGGGTATAAACACAGAGTATATTATTAAAAAAATAAAAATGAAGAGGAAAATTCACGATCACCTGTGATGAAGATTACGAAGCAATTCGTCGGAGTGCGTTTCGATCAATTACGCGCGAATTCTGAAACCAGCGAAACTTCCTAATACAGAGGAGAGAAGCCCTAATATGGCAAGAACCCTAATTCTCTCTTTTCAGAATTGCGGGAACAGAGGATTATGAAATATGAATTATGTGCTGACGCAATTATTCTGTTTCTTTCTGTTATTTTGCCTTTTCTTTTAATTTTTTGTTTTAGGCAAAAAGTTGGTTCATTTTCTTTTTATTTTCGCCGGTTTCGTTCGGAAAAGTTTCAATTTTGGAACAATCGTTTCCGTTCCAAATTTTCAAATCCAGATTTCCGATCTTTTCGGTTTTTTTTTTTTTTTTTTTTTTTTATGTTTGAAGATATATAGAAAATAAATGGATATTCCAATTTCCGAACCTGTTAAAACTCGAAAGTAAACCTTCGTTTCTTTTTCTTAATCTCATTCCCGAAAATTTGCGAAACTGTTTGAAGATTTTAGAAATTCCAAAATATTTGGAACCAGAACGGGTTTTACGATCTCCGGAAATGTTCTAACTATCCCAAGACAAGTTCGTTTTCCGGTTTAAGTAACCTAGGAAGTTTCTGAATTTCTATCCACTTAAAATTGCTTGAATAATGAAGGAAGACATTATATTTCATCGTAAAAATAACAGTAACAAAAAATTGAAAGTTTACAAGGCTGCATAAAGCACTTCACTACTTGCAATTATAGTTTAACAACCTCAACACGAGTAACTCGACATCGTTTACATAATAATACTATTTCACGGACCTTTTCCTCGGTATCAGACGTCTTGGAATATATTATATCCATCTCCTCCAAAACTCGAGCATTCTTCAAAAGAAATTTTACCATTTCGAAATTATTCATTTTGTCTACCGTGTTAACGAACTTTATAACCTTAAGATGTGATAATAGGCATTTAGGCACTTGTAATGGTTCAACCCAAACATAGCTCTTTTTTTCTTCACTTACCTGATAACACCAAGGAAAGAAAAGGCCAAGTCAGTAAGAAATAAATAAAACGGAGAAGCTAAAAAAAATCGTTTTTCTTGCATCATCAACAAACAAACCTACCTCGTTGAAAATAAGGATTTCAAGATTATCAGCATTTTTGAGGAACTGTGAGACAAGGAAACAATCAGCATCCAATTCAAGTTTGGTTAAGGTAGGAAAACTTACAGTCCCCGCAAAGAATTTCGATTCTCCAGTCTGCTGAAGTAAGCACACATTACACTATAGTAAGATCACATGTCCCAGTTTACCATCACTAAAGAAAATGCACAATGAGCTGATAAAACAAATATCTAATGTTAATACCTGAGTTAGATACGATGATAAATTTAACCGTATGCTCTTGGGATTCAGGATTCCGAGCCAATCGATAAATTTCTGTATGGATCGAGAATAAAGAAAATCGTACTTCTTGTTGCTACCCTTTTCAAGATAGATCTCAGCTTCAATTAACGGTGTGGAATTGTCGACACCGTCGCATATTTGAAGATATCCAAGTGCAGGGGTATTGATGACCAACCTGCACTCATAAGATGTGGCATCACTCAAGTAAAAATGGACCGTGAGCCTTTCTATTGTGGGTGACGATATTTTATAACAAGAAAGCAACTCTTCGTCTGACTTGAGTACAAACTCCTCAAGCTGTGTACAACCAGAGAGAAGGCGAGGGAGTGACTCGTCACTTTCATATTCAACTTCAATCAGATGAAGATTCTTCAGACGAGGCAAATAAACGGTCCCCGCATCGGGGATTACACAGCAATAACTGAGCCTCAAATCGACCAGGGTCTCGCAATTGAGAAGGCACTGAGGAAGAATACGAGTACCTTCAACCCAAAGATCAAGATTTCGCACTTTTCGCATAACGGCATAGGCGATCCACGTGTCGAATTGTAAATCGGTGCATGGGAAGCACCTGGTCATGCGGAGAGTATTGATGCTTTTCGTTCTGTGTAGCAGCATAACCCTGTAGACGATGTCTACATCGTCGTCCGTTTCGAAAATTAAATCGGGGGCGTAGGCCCATAGAAACCTCCATCTTCTTGAAAGAATGCTTGTTTTTGCAGACATTATGGTTGGGAGAAATGAGAGAATGTGAAGGAGGACATCGTCTTGCATGCCGCTAATTCTATCGGAATTTACTGCCGCCACTGAATTCGATGACGACGTTGATGACGTCATCCTTCTCCCTCGTTCTTTGATTTTGGATTGTACCGAAGAATCGATTTCAAATTCTGAAATTGCAGATTCAATCAAGGGTATGAACACTGAGTAAATATAAAAAAAATGAACCAAATAATCGAAGTTAAAGCAGGATTTCACAATTGCGAAGTAATTAAACTGGGTACAAATCTTAACACAAATAGCTATATTGCACTATAAAGTGTTGCAAATAGGAAAAGAAAGAAAAATTAACGATCACCTGTGATGAAGATTACGAAGCAATTCGTCGGAGTGGGTTCCGATCAATTACGAGCAAATTTCGGAAACCAGCGAAACTTCTTAATCCGACGCCCAATTCAGAGAAGAAAAACCCTAATTCCCTCTTTTCAGAATTGCGGGAACAGAGGATTATGAAATATGAATTATGAGCTGACGCAATTTATTCTGTTTCTTTCTGTTATTTTGCATTTTCTTTTAGAATAAATTACAACTACACCCCTGAGGTATGATCAAATTACGAAACCCCCCTATTGTTTGGATAATTACATCTATCACCCTTACTATGAATCTTCTTACACCTCCACCCTTATGGTGTCAAATTCAACATAATCATCTAGATTCCGTGGAATCTACTCTAGTTTGTAGTCGTTTTGTGTAAAAATACAGTTTCTGATGCACCACAATCTCATATATACAAGCCAAAAAACACATTTTATGATCATTTTGCTTCAAAATGTGGAGCTCGAATGGGATAAAATGGGTGCAAAAGTGATAATATTCCATATAATAAAGAATATTCCACTAAATTTGAAACCGCACGGGTGGACATATAAGAACATTTATAGTTGATGGGTTGTTGTAATTACCCAAATAGAAGGGGATCTTTTGCAACTTACCGTTCCTCAGGGGTTGGTTGTAATTTACCCTTTCTTTTATTTCTTATTTTAGCATTTCCAACTTCCAACTAAAGAACTTAGGGTAAAAGTTGGTTCTTTTTTTTTCGCCGGTTTCGATCGAAAAAGTTTCAATTTTTCAAATCCAGATTCCCGATCCTTTCGTTTTTTTATATGTATTTGAAGATATATAGAAAATAAATGGATTTTCCAATTTCCAAACCTGTTAAAACAGGAAAGTAAACCTTCATTTCCTTTTCGTCGTCCGTTGCTTTGTCTCATTTCCCGAAAATCTGTGAAAACTGTTTGAAAATTTTAGAAATTCCAAAATATTTGGAACCCGAACGAATTATTAGATTTCGAAAATTTTGGAATTGAAATTGAAAATAGTTTAATACTTCCGAAAAAATTGGAAATTGGATCAAAGTATTTGGTTACTTCCGTATTACAATCAAGATCATTTTCCAGTTCAAGTAATCTAGGAAGTTTCTGAATTTCTATCCACTTAAAATTGCTTGAATAATGAAGGAAAACAATATATTTATTCGCAAAAACAACAGTAACAAAAAATTGAAAGTTTATAAGGCCAAATAAAGCACTTCATTGCTTACAATTATCTGTAAACAACCTTAACAAAGGTAACTGAACACTTCTTTGATGCTCGTTCAATTAATCCCATTTCATTGATCTTTTCATCGGTATCAGACGTCCCGGAATATTGTACTTCCATTTCCTCCAAAACTCGAGCATTCTTCAAAAGAAATCCTACCAATGCGAAATTATTCATTTCGTTTACCTTGAAAGCGAACTTTACAACCCTAAGATGTGATAATAGGCATTTAGGCACTTGTGGTGGTTCAACCCAAACATAGCTCTGTACTTCTTCACTTACCTGATAACAACAAGAAAAAAGCCAAAAAAAAAAAAGCCAAGTCAGTAAGAAAGAAATAAAACGGAGAAGCTAAAAAAATCGTTTTTCTTGCATCATCAACAAACAAACCAACCTCATGGAAAATAAGGATTTCAAGATTATCAGCCTTTTTGAGGAACTGTGAGACGAGGAAACAATCAGCAACCACTTCAAGTTTGGTTAAGGTAGGAAAACTTATATTCCCCGCAAAGAATTCCGATTCTGCAGTCTGCTGAAGTAAGCACACATTACACTATAGTAAGATCACACGTCCCAATTTACCATCACTAAAGAAAATGCACAACGAGCTGATAAAACAAATATCCAACGTTTATACCTCAGATAGATACGCTGATACATTTAACCGCATGCTCTTGGGATTCAGGATTCCGAGCCAATCGATAAAATTCAGTATGGATCGACAATAAAGAAAATCGTACTTCTTGATCTTACCCTCTTCAAGATGGATCTCCGCATCAATTAACGGTGCGAATTTGCCGAAATGGTCGCATATTTCGAGATATCCAAGTGCAGGCGTATCAATAACCAACCTGCACTCGTAAGATGTGGAATCACTAAAGTGAAAATGGACCGTGAGCCTTTTGATTGTGGGTGACGATATATTATAACAAGAAAGCGAGTCTTCGTCTAACATGAGTACAAACTCCTCAAGCATTGTACAACCAGAGAGAAGGTGAGGGAGTGACTCGTCACTTTCATATCTAGCATGAATTAGATGAAGATTCTTCAGACAAGGCAAACAAATGGGCCCCGCCTCGGGGATTACACTGCAATTTGTGAGCCTCAAATCGACTAGGGTCTTGCAATTGAGAAGGCACTGAGGAAGAATACGACAACCTGAAACCCAAAGATCAAGATTCCGCACGTCTCGCATAACGGCATAGGCGATCCACGTGTCGAATTGTAACTCGGTGCATGGGAAGCACCCCGTCATGCGGAGAGTATTGATGTTTTCCGATCTGCGTAGCAGCATAACCCTGTAGACGATGTCAGAGTCTACATCGTCGTCCGTTTTGAAAATTAAATTGGGGGCGTAGGCCCATAGAAACCTCCATCTTCTTGAAAGAATGCTTGTTTTTGCAGAGATCGTAGTTGGGAGAAATGAGAGAATGTGAACGAGGACATCGTCTGGCATGCCGCTAATTCTATCGGAATTTTCTGCCTCTGGAATTGATGACGACGTTGATGACGTCATCCTTCTTCCTCGTTCTTTGATTTTGGATTGTACCGAAGAATCGATTTCAAATTCTGAAATTGCAGATTCAATCAAGGGTATGAACACTGAGTAAATATAAAAAAAATGAACCAAATAATCGAAGTTAAAGCAGGATTTCACAATTGCGAAGTAATTAAACTGGGTAGAAATCTTAACACAAACAGCTATATTGCACTATAAAGTGTTGCAAATAGGAAAAGAAAGAAAAATTAACGATCACCTGTGATGAAGATTACGAAGCAATTCGTCGGAGTGGGTTCCGATCAATTACGAGCGAATTTCTGAAACCAGCGAAACTTCCTAATCCGACGCCCAATTAAGAGGAGAAAAACCCTAATTCTCTCTTTTCAGAATTGCGGGAACAGAGGATTATGAAATATGAATTCTGTGCTGACGCAATTTATTCTGTTTCTTTCTGTTATTTTGCCTTTTCCTTTATTTCTTACTTCAGCACTTTCATATGTTGTTAAAAACAATTTTATTCGAGTAGCACTTTTAGCATTTCCAACTAAAGAATGTTTGACAACTAAGAGTAAAAAGTCGGAACAAAAATTCTAATTTCCGCCGGTTTCGTTCCGAAAAATTCTAATTTTTGAACAATATTTTTCTTTCCAATTTTCAAAACTCGATTTTTGATTTTTTTTTTCTTTTTTTGAAATTAGAAGTATATATATAAATAAATGGAATTTCCAAAAGTAATTTCTTTTTTTTTTTAATACACCTATAAGCAATAAACCTCTAGAAATGCTTGCAAGTTTATACCTCTTCTTTTTACCGAAACCTTTCTTCGGAATCCGGAATCATCTCCGCCCACAGTTCCTTAAACCGAACACTTCGAAACCCGTCTTGAAACCAATCCTCGATTTCCGAAAACAATGCTTCCCGATTTTCACTCCATAACTCTCGTAGTTTCGCAAAGCCGTCAGTAACTCGCCCCTCGGTATTTAACTTATTTAATAAACTACCTACCCGTTTAACCCCCGGCAACTCGGGCTGCAAAATGATTTCAGCCTTAGTTGCCATAAATTTCCGATCATCTTTTAGGCACGGCAGAACTTGCCCTTGAAGCAGTGAATGCTAAGCAAATACAGTAACTCTAGTAAACCGATCTTCGATCGGCAAATTATGAGGCGGAAGCTCCCATAGATGCGGGCCGAAAGTCGGAGTTGACCACGAGAAGACTTGGTCAGATACAGGGTCATAGTAGGGTTTCAACCCCAAAAGTGGGGCGTAGAAAGTACACAAAGATCGAGCGTATTGAGGAAGCCAATTTGCTTTCACACTTGTTATATAAGGTCTCTTACCTTGTAATAATTCGTTGTAGACCAAGCACTCCGGTGGACATTTGGAAGTAAATGACCGTCGATGGAGGAACCGTTTTTTTGACCATGCAAGCTTTTTGGTATCGTATTCTCTTGACTTTGACTTTTTCCTCTCCTTGTGACAAGATTGAAGCTCCTTTCATTCGTTTAGCAACTCTATCTGCCCAACCAGCAAAGATAGCCTTCCTCAGAATCTCCTTGATTTTGACTTTTTCCTCTTCATTCAGCTGAAGAGGGTTTTCATATTGCCCATGCACATTCTACATGCTCGGCGGTACCATGATTCCACGAGAACTCGTTTTCTGAATCGCTAATATTTGACTTGAAAACTAGCTGAAGAAGCTGCTTTCTCAGCTTGGACATTTCTTTCATGGTCTTTTGGTGTAAAGAATTGTCATTGCAAAAAATTTCTGGGTTTTCAGAAACTTCGAAACACTGAAGTGCGGAAGCTATGGTCAAAGCATCGCTAGTTGAGTTAGAGAAGTTCATTTTCCTCGGTTTTTCTTCTATGTCGACAACTTTTTCGTTCGAATCCTCTCTTGTACCATCTTCAATGCGCATTTGAAAGGGATTCGACAAGCTTAAAGCTGCAGCTGCTGCGACAGCGTGTGCCAAACTCGATTTGCACTCGAGCAATGTTTCGCCTTTTGCATGATCTGAATAACGGTTAAAGTATTCTGGAATGACGAGGGCTCATTGGATAGCGAGCCATGGCCTTCCCTAGAGGGGTCAACCTTCCCTTTTCGCTCAGTGCTTCTAGAACCTTCAGACAACGCTCTGCATCGATCAATGCACTCTGGTGGGGTTGGAAAAGGAAAATTTGCAACCTGCAAATACAAATAATAATATATGGTAAAAGTACAAGAAATAACTAAAATTGAATAAAAATAGAAATTATATATAACTTGCCTTGCCAATATCCATGGATTTCATTAGCAGGACAACCCCATAAACTGGCACTTTGGATATTTCAGCTTGTGTGAAATCGGGAAATGAATTACCGAAAGCTGCTGAGGAATAAAGACGATAACAGTGTCCGGGCCCAGTTCTTCCGGCTCTTCCCGCACGCTGAGCCGCAGAAGCTTTACTTATCCATTGTATATCATATGTTTCCATACTGTTCGAAGAGTTATATTTCTTGACCTTTTCTTTTCCCGTGTCGACAACATACTTTATTCCTGGAATAGTCAAAGAGGTCGGCCACATTAGTTGCTACAACGACAAGGCTTCTTCACTGCCCTCTTCAAATACACGAAGCTGTAACTTTGCAGAAAGCATGGCATGCAGCGGCAGAACACGAAGCGGGCCAGGTGAAGAGCTCTTACCTTCCTCCTCTGCATTTTTAGATTCATTTTCCGAGAAATCTTCACGATAAAAACGTTCAGTAATTTCATGGACAGAGTTCTTTTGAAATTCAAATTCCTCGCTAATCTTATCCATGTCGTTTTCTCTTGGAGGTTTCTCTTCGGAGATGGAAGAAGCCTTGTTACTTCCTTTGACTACTTTAGCGACTATCTCTCGAGAAGCTCGACGCAGTTTCTGACAGAGGTCCTCTACCTCTCTCTGCTCTGACAAATTATTAGATACCTTAGGTGTAACCATTTCTTCTTCGTCGTCTGATGAATGAAGAGACTTTTGTGGGAGTTCTAACAAAGATTTTCCAATAGACTCATTAGCAACTTCCTTGATACAGAAAGCACACCACACCCATCAGAAATAACAGGTGGACTATCACATACTTCATTTTCAGAAGATCGAACAGAGATGGACGTGTCGTTAAGGATCACCCGTTCTGCTAAACATGGTTGTAAATAACTAGCTGGTGATTGGGTTTTGTCCTCAAGTACTTCAGCGCCGTGATATGCATTTTCGGTTCTCCTCTTCGCAAAAGGCTGATCACTATCAGGCAATTGTAAACCCGCATTAGCAAACTCAACTTCTCTTCTCCTCTTTCCACGAACAGTTTCAACCTGTAGTCGATTGGGCCAACTCATGATTTACGGCATTTTTTTCTACATCCAATAGAATAATATCATACGATGAACACAAACCTGACCGACGTTCTTCGAAGACCTCATAAGTGACACATCCTCCCCAATCTTGTACTTCCTGAAAAATTAACGGTCAAACAAACGAAGCATCAAAATCCAAATTCCCTTGATCAGATTAAAATCTTAAATGAATTTTAAAGAACATTCAATCACAAAAGAAGGCCGAAAGGCAATATTCTTAATCCAACTTCTCCATGCTTTCCGATAGCAGCATTTCCTTTTCCTTCTCTTCATATACACTAAAAACTCAGATCAACCAACACCTAACACTTCAATACAACTATAAATACATATCAAGTACTCAAATCTATACTAAAATTCTCCAGAGTTCAGCTTTTATGCAACGTACCTCGAGCTTCTTCAACTTTCTTTTCCGGGATTTGCTTAATTCAGGCTTGTTCAATGTATCGAGCTTTTCAAATACCTTAAGTAAACAAACATAAAAACTCAAAGGCCGATCAAAATCAATAATCGACGCAAATCACCCGTAACCATTTCAGTGTTCACACCTGATTTTTGCCCATCCCTTTCCTTCCTTTCTTTTTCTTCCCGGACAACATGATGATATATCCACCATCATTCTCCAAACTTTTTCATCCAATTGCAAACCACAAAAGAATTTAGTAAACTACAGCCAAACAAAATACTAGCGTCGCTTGTAACGAAACAAAATTGGAAAAATTACCTCATTAAATCTGCTCCTTCGTTCAAATTCCTTGAAGGATTCATTATTGACAACGGATCTTGTCCAGCACGCCGCTCAATCGATCGGAATCTACTGGATTTGATGACGAGGTTGATTTTTTCCTGATTTTGATTTCGGATTTTGTCGAAGAATCCAATTCAAATCCTGGATTTGCAGATTCAATCGAGGGTATAAACAACGAGTAATGCAAACAGCATAAAGTGAAACGCCATTAATTAAAGCCTAGGTTGACTAACAACTGCCATCACCATATGCTGATTAAGCTCGAGATTATCATCCAAATTACAGTAAATAATCCAATGATTATCAAATCAGTACACTAATTTGATAAGCATGAACGAATCAGAATAAGGTAAATATGAATACAAGCAAGTATATTGCACGAAAATACAGAAAATTCACAAAGCGAAGCAAAATTCGAATTCGTCGTCGTCGTGCGTTCCGATTCACCCGCGAAATTCTAGACAATAAATCTGTAAATATATGTATATGATATTGTATATATACCTAAGCCCAAATCCGAACCTACGAAACTGAAGCCCAAATGTAAAGGCCCTTTGTAACTCGAAAGATATCCAAGCCCAAATTTGATTTTACAAACAAAAAAAATAATAAATAAAAAATAAAATAAAAATTGAAGATTCACATATGTGATCATGGACAATTGGAAATTACTAATTGGTTTAATTCAGAGATTGAATTATGTAACCAATTCAATAATTATACACACACGTTTGAAGAATTTAATTTAATTAGTGCTCCACTAATAATTTCTTGTTACATTAGTGCCTAAATATTGGCCTACCACTTCTAAAAAAAATAAAACAGTAACTAATTAATTTCGCTATATAAATCAAATTATAGACAGCTGGAACAATAAGATCTACACAAGAGAAAGAAAGAAGGTAGCTAGTAAAGAAATTAACTTAATCTCATATTTTTGTTCAACTTAATTACTTTTTATTATAATCTTATTTTGAATAAATTAACAGATTTTTACGTACAAGCATATATACCATGAGGTGTGGGATCATCATCACTTTGTTTGTTCTTTGTGCTATAATCCTTGCAAGTTTTGAAGGCGGCCATGCGGAAGAAATAATGCCCGGTGCGAAAAATCGACACCTTTTACGGGAAACTAATCGATCACCAAACAAAGGTTCTGAAGCTAACAACAACAATGGAGTTGATGATGAAGGTTCCGGAACCGACCAGAACACTCATCATTTCTTTGCAGATAGCAACGAGTACAAGCATCCGCCAATCCGTTCTCTCTAGAAACGACATACATGTGTGTCGTTTTATGTATCTATATCATGATTATTGCGATATGGGGTTGTTGTATGATATTATATATATATATATATATATATATATATATATATATATATATATATATATATAGTGTGTGTGTGCGCGCGCGCTTGTGTATGATAGGTATGTGTAAGCAAGGTTAAATTCGAGTTGCCAAAAAAATGGCACTATGAATTAATGTTGGTGTTTAATGATCTGTAATAAATCGCAATGTGTGGATTTGAATAAAAATAATGTGTAATAATGTGAAACCAATGTGTAATTAATTAAGTGTTATTCCAAGTGTTGAAATATTAATGGCAGGCGAAATCACGCAAACAGAATCAATATATGATGAAGAACCCTAGCTAGATCGAACAAACCCTAATTTACGAATGCAAGAAAATAAACACGTATTTATTAATAGTGGTTCGATCGAAGAAATGATCTACATGCATCCACTTTGATTTTATTTGATGATCCAAGAAGTGAGATTACAAACGTATCTTTTACTCTCGAGAACGCAACTCTCGGAGCTCTCACTATAATCAACAATGGCGATCTATGTCGAGCAACTTTTTCCCTCACTCTATTCGCTAATGAATAAAGAGAATATTATGATTCTCTCTCTCTCTCTCTCTCTCTCTCTCTCTCTCTCTCTCTCTCTCTCTCTCTCTCTCTCTCTCTCTCTCTCTCTCTCTCTCTCTCTCTCTCTCTCTCTCTCATGATGGATTCAATGTGATTACAAACAGTATAAATATCTCCATATATAGTTTATGATGATGCATGCAGTGACTTGTTAATTAAATTTCAGTCTAAAAATAAATTAACTATAAAATGCAAGCGAAGAATATGTTTTAAGTGTATGTAATAGTAGTATATATACAGTTAATAATAGGATATATATGAAAAGTTTATGCAGATATTATTGGTTAATTGTATTCTAAGTGTGATCCATTTTGTTTCCCAAGAGGGAACATACTAGAAAATATATCGTTAATCGTATGATTATCAGCACACAATTATCTTAATTAATAATTAATGGTCAATTCAACTCATCATTAATTAATTCTCAGGTGGAGCTATAGCTAGCTACCTACATTATTAGTGCTCCCTCCACTTATATCATCATCATCATCATATATACTCTTTCAAATTATTTTCTCCTTTAATCAATTATATGTTAATTAGTTAATTACTTAATTAGATCTTCCATTTCCATTTTATAATTATATATCTAAAATAATCTTATATTATATACATATACACAGTAAATTAATAACCTCATTTAAATAAATAGTTTTTTCTGATCCCGACTCGGTAAAAACCAACTAAATTATTAGTTCGATAATTTAATATTTCGCTAAATTAATAGAATTTTGCTAGTCACGAC